TTTTTTTTTTTTTTTTTTTTAGTAAATGTACTTTACTAGAGCATTTCCTTCTTAGGATAACTTTCCAAGGAACGTCCTCTGTAAAATTCTGTGTTCGTATACTGGTATTTTTAGGATTATTAGATAAATGTTTTACAGCTACAATTTAAGAGTTAATACATGTAGCAGGTTCCAGTTTGGTCTCTATGCTTTCTGCTCAGAATTTGCCTTAACTCTTAAGCATACCCCGCACACCTCTTCTGCTTCGTCACAGAGCTTACTCCAGTGATGTAGTAAGTCATGTTGTTTATATGTCCTTGCTTGTTCATCATTCATGCTGTTTGATTTTTGTACCTTTTTCTGTTCCAAGTTGTGCTTTAGACTCTCCACTAAAGTTTGCATAGTATGCATTTATTTCTGCTGTACTCTTCCGGAAACCTCACTAAGCCATGAAGCCCCCATGCACTAACAAAAAAATTTAAACGCAAATTAAACTCTGTGAAGAGTAACACTGACAGTTGAAGTCATGGTAGAACAGAATTTTGGAGTCTAGAAAGTAAAACGAATGGTTGGAAATTAGCTTCTCACAAAAGTGGATCCTCAGACCTCAGTGGGGGAAGCGGAGGTACAACTCAGTTTTCCTGACTGAACACCCAGACTTGGAACCTGACAGCATTGGGCTTGTAAGGGGGAGGCCGACAGCATCAGGGTTGACTTGATGAGCAGGTAGACAGCTCCAGGCTCGGTATCCAAGTGCAAACTTGGCTGATGCTGCCCCAGCCCCACATGCATTTTGGCTGGATGATGGCAATTTGTTTTCTGGAAAAAGTGAGGCAGGGAAGGTCTTTGAGTACAGTTGAATTGTACTGAGTGAAGGGGTAGGGAATACTGTACTGATAATGTAAGATTACCTGAAAATGTAGATTCCCAGCTCACTGGGAGAATCATCTTTAGGACTCCGTCAGAAGAAAAGACTAAAGAGAGAAGAGACTCAACTCCAGGGAAAACAAATTGTAGAAGAAAGCAAAAGTGACCACATATATACCACATCTGTAAGACAAGGGGGAATAAAAAAAAAAAAGATAAGGGAGAATGGCATCTGCAAGTAGGGTTACTGTGAAGACGAAATGAATTACAAGACAGTCTGGCACAATAAAGGTGGGCTGTCACAGTTTTTACTCAGACGTGAATAGTACTTACCCGATCTTAATGCCCTAAATGCTCTGTGTCCATTGAACCCACCTGAGGATGTATTGATATCGGGAGGATGGGGGTGGAGCAGGTATAAAAGGGCACAGATCATCCATCCTCCACAGAAGGGAGTCAGTAGGACCTACCACACAGACTGTGGTCCAAAATGAAGAACATTCTAGAGTATTTTGTTTGTGAGTAGGAAGGAGAATAGCCAAGAAACCAAACAGCTGGAAAACTTGGGGGCTGTGCAGAAGACTTCTCATTTTTATAATGAAATGTGCGAAAGGAATATATATGCATAACACTGATAAGAACAGACGTAAATTAAGTAATTTTTTAGTTCAGGGCCTCTTCTGAAATTAACTTTTCTGTCCTTTTGGCTTTTATTCTTTATAGTACTTATTTCTGTCTTCACTAATGTACAGTAAAATCCCTATTTTCCAGTAAGAAAATCCCAAAAAAGATTTTGGCCAACTTTAGGCTGTAGTGTTACAGAAGTAAAGTAACAAAAGTTTACTCCATCTCTGGGGATCGATGACACCTAATGGCAGTGCCCTGATCAATCCAGTACTGGGCTACAACTCCCCCTTACATAGGGATTTACAGCCTTGATCTTATCCAAGTGGTTACCTTGCATTTTCACAGTTCACATTGCTGATACAAAACGTGGTGGCAGTTACTGCCCAGATGTTGCACTTCTTTGGTAGGGGAGGTTACCTTTAAAATTCATTTAGTTATCTATTCTAGCCCAGGGGAAGGGGGTAGCATTTGGTGGGCAAAGCTAACAATCATTTTTCTTTTACAGAACTTTTGAGAGAGACTAGATGTCTCTGGTGCTGGTTAATTCTGAACTAAACAGAGCAAAGGGCAGAAGTTATCTTGCATTGTGACATTTCCTAGGTTTTTGCTATTAAAGTGCTCTCTATCAGTAGGACTATAGCTGGAATGGTTGAACTATCTTACAGCATTTAATATATTTAATTATTCATTAAATCATGTTTACATGATTTAGAACTTTTTTGTATTACTATTTTATTAAACATTAGTTTTCCACAATTCAGTCATGTTTACCTCCATTTTAAAGGTCTGTGATAGAATTTTTTTTTTTTTTTTTTGGTATCAGAGATCGAACTCAGGCCCTTGTGCTCCTGAGGCAGGTGGCGGCACCACTGAGCTAAATCCCATCTGTGATAGAATTCTTTTAATTCATCATTGGTGTTCCCATTAGCATTTTGTATTGCCAAACCATTACTCTCCCTTGGCCTGACAATGGTGCATTGTGGGCTGGCCTGTGGGAGTCACGCATTGTTCACAGTGACACCAACTCTTGCAGTGATTAACGCTCCTATTCCTAACAAGTAGTGAGTCAGTCTGTGTTCAGTTTCCTTGTCCTCTTTTTTTTTGTATTGGTTCAACAACCTTGTTTTTCTAAGCATTCAAAAAACCTCTAGCATTCAGCAATATTGTGTAGAGCAAATCTGTTACCTAGCAGTGTCAAAGCATAAGAGAGTGTTTTATAAAGTGAGAGGCTTCACACCACACTGACTTTATTAGTAACACCCAGCGACTTCTGTGCTGGAGAATGACTTGGGCAAACTCCTGCCTTACATTTTGGCGTACACCGTAAATTCACTTCCCTGTCTGCCCCCAACTACAAAGCATTTAAAATAAGGACTGGATTGTATTACATACGTAGCAATACAGTCTTCATGGATACATTTGCTAATTACACTTCTCTCTCAGGCATTTGCCTATTTGACAGAACTTACTAATGCATATTAAAGGTGGCCTTTGGGCTGGGGATGTAGGTGAGGGGTAGAATGCTTGCTTCCTATGCATGAGGCCCTGAATTCAGTCCCCACCACTGAACAATTAAAAAAAGTTTGCTTTTCAAGTAATTAAGTTTCTCCAGGACACTTACTTATACTTTCAAAGTGTTAATTTTTTATTCAAGGTATCTGGTGGTGTGGAAAAGGATTATGATGACCTTTTTGATGGAGATGATACCAGTGATGCAGGTGACTTTCTCAGTGACAAGGCAACTGAGATCCCCTCTTCTTCGAAAGGGATCATAAATGATGAAGACGATGATGACCTCATGGTGGCTTCCGGTCATCCTAGACCACGAAGTCACATCCTAGAAGATGATGAAAATTCAGTAGGTATGAATTTGGCTTTGTGCACATGATAATCCACCTTGCTGGTTAATATTTTCAACTTTGTTAAAGTTAAAGGCATTATTCCATTTGTAAAATGTAGCTAAAGGAATACCAGGGGAGTAAATAACATTAAAGCCTTATGTTGAAAAGGAAAGATTTGAGCCAGGCATACTGGCACACGCCTGTAATCTCAACACTTAGAAGACAGAGGCAGGAAGATCACCATGAGTTCGGGGCTAGCCTGGGATACGTAGCAAGACCCTACCTTAAGAAAAAGTAAGTTTAATATTGTATAATCTTTCTGCTTTAGTGAACTAGAAAAAGAAATTAAACTCCAAACCATATTAAGGCAGGCAGAAAATAAAAAAGGAACAAAATTCAATAAAAAATCAACAAAAGAGAAACTAAAATCATTGAAACCAAAAGCTACTTCCTTGAAAGGATCAATGAAAGGAATAAATCTCTGTCATGATTGATAAAAGCCAAACTATTAATATCGATTGTGTAGATGGCTGTCTGATACAGCAGCACATGAGGGAGCATTTCAGTGACCTTAGCTCAAGTTGAAATGTGTTTTAAGCATAAAATGCAACCAAATAAGATTTTGAAGATAGCATAAAAAAGTTGTAAACCAGCCAGGGGTGGTGGTGCATGCCTGTAATCCCAGCACTCTGGAGGCTGAGGCAGTAGGATCGTTGTGAGTTCGAGACCAGCCTGGGCTACATAATGAGTTCCAGGTCAGTCTCAACTACACAGTGAAACCCTGTCTCCAAAAAAAAGTTGTAAACCATCACAGTCAATTTTTTATATTGAGTACATGTTGAAAAGATAACACTATAAATGCAGTATATTATTTTTAACTTTTAAAAGTCGACCACTAGAAAGTTTGTTACTCATATTTTCGGGAGTCAGCCCTGCCACTGATATCAAAAGGATAAGGGGGGCTGGGTGCGGTGTCGCACACCTGTAATCCCAGCACTCCGGAGGCTGAGTGAGGCAGGATAATCATTGTGAGTTTGAGACCAGCCTGGGCTACATGGTGAGTTCCAGGTCAGTCTCAACTACGTAGTGAGACCCTACCCTGTCTCAAGAAACCAAAGAAAAAAAAAGGAAATAGGAACATCTTTGTGCCCATAAATTCAAAAGAGTAGATGAAATGGGCAAACTTTTTCAAAGATGCAAGTTTGCCAAATTCATTCCAAAAGAAAGATATAGCCTTAATAATATTGTATCTATTAAAGAAATTGAGATTATAATTTGTTGTTGTTGTTTTTTTTGTTTTGTTTTGTTTTTTGGTACTGGGGATTGAACTCAGGCCCTTGTGCTTGAGAGGCAGGCAGTGGAACCACTGAGCCAAACCCTTGGCCCTTGAGATTATAATTTGAAACCTTCAAATAAAGTACCTGTTGTAACTACTTACATGCAAAATAACACATTTGACCATTAGCAAATAAAATATCCGTGTACAGTGGCGAATCATCCTGTGTTTAAATCACATATTTCTAGAACAGCAGTCTTTAAATATTTGAGTTATAGGCGCCCTTTACTCTAGAAGAGCCTCCAAAGAACGTCTGTTTTTGTGGAGTAGCATCTAATTTTATTTACTATATTAGAAATTAAAAATGGAGAAATTTTAAACATACTTTAAAAATTACAGTGGAAACATGGAAACCTGAGTGGTTTTTTTGGTGCTGGTGGTTGTTTTCACCAGGAATGGAACTCAGGACCGTGTGGTTGCCGGGCAGGCACGGTGCTCCTGAGCTACATCCCCAGCCCAACCTGAGTGCTTTTAACAGCAAACAAAAAGTAGTTAGAGCAGCATTGTCTTTGTAATTTCTGCCACAGGACACCAGCATTGTCTCCTTTTCTTGATTAAATCTGTTGCCTTATAACAGTTTTGCTTGAGGTATACTAAGAAAATTCCAAATGTGCAATTTGTGAAGGGATAAGTATTTAAATAACTTGTTGAGAGAGTTGTGGAAATCCTTTGATACTTCACGAAAACTTGGCAAATGGTCATGTCTCCCTCCCTCCCTCCCTCCGTCCTTTCCCTTCCCTTCTCTCCTTACCTTTCCCTCTTCCACTTCACCTCACTGCTCTCCTTTCTTCTTTCCCTGTCTCTGTGACTCCTCTCCTCTCCTCCCCTCCCACTGAGGGTCAAACCCGGGGGCTTGCACATGCTAGGCAAATACTCTGCTACTGAGCTACATCCACAGCCCTCTATCTTTTGAGACAGGGTGTTAAGTCGCCAGGCTGGCCTCGTACTTGCAATCTTCCTGCCTCAGCATCTTAGTGGCTGGTGGTATAGGCGTGTGCCACCATGCCTGGCTAACAGCATTTTCCTAAAGATTACTGGACTAGTATTGTGGAATCTGAGACCTCAGTGAACTTTTTAACTATTACATTGAAACCCGTTGGTCTGATTTGAACTTGGAATGGATTTTAGTTTCTCTTTCTTGACTTTTACCATGCATTGGAAATTGGAAAGTAATGTTTCCCTGAGGGTTGCAGCCTTCCTCACATTCACGTATTTTATTACCCCATAGAAGTTATATCTGTTAGTTTTGTCACTAACCTCCCTATACTTTTAAATGTTAGAATGTTGTCAGGCTCGTGAGAGCAAATACAAATTTTCCAGTATTCTAATTTTTGCTTGAAAGCTCAAATTTTATCACTGGCAACAAATCCTTTCAGTTATCAAGTGACAGGCTCACTTCATTCCTGCCAAGAAAATGTTTGCCCCCTATGCAAGTCTGCAGTGACCAAGGCGGCTGGCATTCGGTGAGAAAGTGGTGTCATTTGGCTCGAAGTACAGCTGTCGGCTCCTCTCACAGACGACCGTCTTCTCTTACACACACTGCTTGCTTTCACTTGGCAGCAAGTCCTGTGCGGGGTGCAGGATCAGTGCTGACTAGAATTAATATTCACAGCGGAAGTGAGTGGTGTTCAGAGTGCAGGGACTGCTGATCCGGGCTGGTGATGCCCCTCGGGTCCACATTGAGCATTAGCAGCTGTACCAGCAGCACAGCCCAGCATCCCTGCCTCTCCACACAGCCACAGGCAGGAGCGCAGCCATCACCGCTGTCCCCGGGACGGTGGAGGGCTTGTTTGAGTCCACTGACGCTTTTCTTTGCCCAGATCACTGTGATTATAGTTCTCTTACGGATGGCTCTTCTTTGCATTGCAGACATTACAGTGCTGAAATCTGGTCTGCTCAAAGAGGAGGAGGAGGAAGGGGCAGGCAGCCTGCACCGTCTCCCGCTGGTGCCGTCTCAGAGGCCGCTGTATGAAGGACCCAGACCCACTCCAAGGCAGAAGCCCTTCCAACCAGGGTCCACGCCCTCACACCTCACCCACAGGTTCATGGTGAGTCCTGGGTCTGCACCCCACTGTCTGCACAGTGCGCCAGCATCTCTTTTCACTCTGGTTTATTACATTGGATAAAAAGTATTTTTTAAAACCCTAATTAAATGGGTTGCTCCATTTTGTTTAATTATAATTTTGGGTTGATTTAACTCATAGTTTTAATATTTTTTGTTTTTACTTTTGTTTTGTTTTTTTTTTTTTGGTACCGGGGATTAAACTCACGTCCTTGCACTTGCAAAGCAGGCGCCAGAACCACTGAGCTAAATCCCCAGCTGTTTGTGTGTGTGTTTGTTTTGTTTTTGTTTTTTTTTTGGTACTGGGGATTGAACTCAGGTTCTTGCACTTGGAAATCAGGCGCCAGAACCACTGAGCTAAATCCCCAGCTCAGTTTTTTTTTTGTTTGTTTGGTTTCTTTTGAGATAGGGTCTCACTGTGTAATTGAGACTGACCTGGAACTCACTATGTAGTCCAGGCTGGTCTCGAACTCATAGTGATCCTCCTGCCTCAGCCTCCCAAGTGCTGGGATTACAGGCGTGAGCCACCATGCCCGGCCACCAGCTCAATATTATTATTGAAAATCAATTAAATAAAATTCTGCTAGGCAGAATGACATAACCTAAATAAATGACTGTCTTACAGGTGTACTCCCAAACCTTACTTCTCACAGTAGATTTGTTTTTAAATACAACATTACACAGACTCCAGAATACTAGTTAGAAGATGTTTATTAGCAAGCAGCTCTGCGTATAATGTCTGAGGAGGCGAGAGATAAGGATTGTGGGTGGGAAAAAATTGCCTTTCAGCCCACTTCCCTGGAATGTATGTTTCACAGGACAGAGTTTTCTGGGTTTTGTTTTTGTGCTTGTGGTGCTGGGGATCAAACCCAGGGCCTCGTGTGTTTTAGACAGGTGCTCTATCACCGAGCTGTCTTTCCAGGCCTTTATTATTAGTTTTTATTTTGTTTTTTAAACTGAAAGCTTAGCATTTAGAACAGGATATGGCATTAAAGGCATTAAATATGTATTTCTTGAATCAATAATTACTTGTTTTCCTTATATTTGAGAATTTTAAAGTTTTAAGATTTTCTATTTGTTGATTTTTGAGGATTTTTATTCTAAGGATTTACCTGGCTTTTTTTTTTTTTTTTTTTAATACAGACCTGGCATATTGTATATAATATTAATAAAACTGTTACCATCAGTAACCATCCAGTAATATATATTAATTTTTGTGTTTATTACTAATTTTACTAGTGATTTTTATTAATGTATTATGTATAATTATACAAGTACATTGTGTGTAATATGTTATATACATATACATTATACAAATATGTATTTTACTATATGTCTTGTAGTTCACATTACAACGTAAGTATAACTAGGATCTAGTGTGAACCTGTTGTGTACATCAGTAGAATAAAGTTTTGCAAATGGTATTAATTTGTGTTGCTTTAAAACATGTGTATTGGAGCAACTCACTTTTGAATTCTCCCTTCCTGTCCAGAGTAGCTTTTTTTTTTTTTTTTTGGTACTAGGGATCGAACTTGGGACCTTGTACTTGCAAGGAAGGCTGTGGAACCACTGAGCTACATCCCTGGTCCCAGAGTAGCTTTCTGCCATCTCTTTTCCTACTTCCCCATCTTCAAACATATTGTCTGCTTAAAAACACACACACATTTATCCTATAATGTAAACTAGTTAGTTGGAATAGAAAAGTATCTGATGTCATTTGTATCTCTGGAATGTTTCTTTTGAGGCATTTAATGGTTTGGTTTTCAGAAGTCACTTGTAAAGTACTTTTTTAATGACAGTCGTGTAATTTACTTTGAAATACTTAACGCTTCAGTTGCTAATAAATAAGCATATGTATACCTTAGGTCTGATATTGCTCCCTCTATCTAAAAGTATTCAGCTACATGCGATACAGAAACTTCCCTAACTTAAACCTTGGTGCAGCTGGAATTACAGTCTTGTTAACTTCTTTTTCTGACTTGGTGTTTCATCTTCCATATTTGCAGGTGTGGAACTCTGTTGGGATCATCCGCTGCTATAACGATGAGCAAGACCAGGCTGTAGATGTGGAGTTCCACGACTCCTCTGTGCACCACGCAACACACCTGTCCAACGCCTTGAATTACACGGTGGCGGATCTTTCCAACGAAGCTATCTTGTTGGCGTGCGAGAGCACCGATGACCTAGCAAGGTGAACTCAGGGTCATTAGAAAAAACTGGACACTGTTAAGCTGCTGGGTAGAATTGTTGAATTAACAACAAAAGTTAATAAAGTAGAGTGATGGCTTTTTTGTGGTGTGAAATTGCAGGAAAAGGCACTTGGTACCAGGAACAGCACATGTGTCCTGCAGAGCATGTTTGTTCTTGCTCTGCTTGTCCTTCATTACCTGCTCTTAACTACAAACTGAAATGGCATGGCCTAATTTATAATGCACAGGAGATGGGACTATGTTTTACATTGTGTTACTACTGTTAAAGAGTAATACACATTCATTGAAAAGAAAATACAAAATTTCTAGATGGTGAAAGTTCCTTCCAAGACTCTACTCTCATATATAATAACCACAACTAACACTTGATGTGTATCTTTCTAGGTACCTTTCTGTATGAAGTTTTCCTTTTTTTAAATTTCATTTTTGGTTTTTTGAGTCATGGTCTCACTAAGTAGTCCAGGCTAGCCTCCAGCTCACGGCAATCCCCCTGCCTCAGTCTCCTGAGTGCTGGGACTATGTGTACCACCATGTACTGTGAAGTTCTCTTTTCTTTAATTTTAATTTTTGGGTTTTTTTGAAACAGGGTCTTTCTATTCATTTCAGCCTGGCCTTAAATTTGCTGTGATCCTACTCCTTCAGCCTCCTGAGTGTTGAGATCACAGGCATGTGCCACCACGCCTGGCTCTGAAGTTTCCTTTTGAAAATTTACTATGTTGAGGCATAATTTATATACAAAATAAAATTACGTGCTATATATAGTCTTGGTACATAGATAAATGTGTATATACCCAGGTAATCACTACTGCCATCAAAATATTAATTTTTTAAAATCTCTCCAAAATGTTCTTTCATATCCCTTTATAGTAAATTCAGTTCCAACCTTGGTAAGTTGTTGTTCCGGTTTTTTGTCTTTATAGGTTAGATTTGAAACCTCTCTTTCAAAGCGCGTGGTATTTTCTTCTTGATTACTGGGGATTAAACCTAAGCCTTCACGTATGTGAGGCAGGCACTCTACCACTGAGTTTCATCCTCAGCACAAAAGGAAGTCTGTTTTCTTTGTTTTGTTTGAAGACAAAGTCTCACTGTTTAACCCAGGGTGGTCCCAAACTTGTGATCCTTCTGCCTCAGCCTTCCAGAGTCCTGGGATTACAAGTGTGTGCTACCATATCCCACCCCAAAAAGAAATTTGAGGCAAGAAGACCTCGCCAAATTTGCATCAGCAGTTTGTTCTTTTTCTCTTTTTTTTTTGGTACCGGCGATCGAACTCGGATCCTTGCGCTTGCCAGGCAGGCGGCGGCGGCACCACTGAGCTAAATCCCTGGCCCAGCAGTTTGTTCTTACTTCATATATTTTGGGCTTCTTTACATGCTTTAGTAGCTAGTTAAGTAGACAGGTAGATAGAAGTTGAGATAAAATCATGATGGAAAAGCCTTCATGTAGAATATATGTGTTTTGTTTTTGTTTCTTTAAGAAAAATATTTTCACTTATTTATAGCCAGAGTACCCTCTCTTGATCTTTTTTCTTGATGAGCTTGATTACTTTTTTTTTTTGGTACCGGGGATTGAACTCGGGTCCTTGTGCTTGCAAGGCAGGCCACCAAATCGCTGAGCTAAATCCCTGGCCCGAACTTGATTATTTTTAATGTCTCCTTCATAACTTGAAATCAAAATCCTTCTGATGAGATACATTTGCTCCTCACTGCTCAAAGTGCAGCCTCTAAACCAGAGTTGTGAGTCATCTGGGAATTTGTTGGAAATGCAGATTCGGCCCCCTCCTCAGATTTCCATACCAGAATCTGAAGTTTACCAGGCTCCTCAGTGGCTGACGCATGTTCAGGACTGAGAACCAGTGTGTGGGTCATTTGAGCATGTGTATTGGTTTCCTAATTTATATGGTTACCATTCAGTACTTCATTCATGATTGAGTTGACTCCGTTTATTAGAATAAACTAGGGGTGAGCTTGCACAAAGTCCTGCTTTCAGTCACCAGCACCACAAAGAATCAGTCAGTGACTGTCAACTCAGTATCTCTGACTCAGAATACCTTGCATAGTGAGAATGTAGTTAGAAATTCTCTTTCCTCTGATATTTCACAGCCCTGTAAAATGCTACCTTTAAAAGTTACTGTTCAGAGGGCAAGGATGTGGCTCAGTGGCGCTGCGCCTGCCTGGCAAGCACTAGGTCCTGAGTTCAATCCCCAGTACCAAAAGAAAAAAGTTACTGTTCAGAAAACTGCTGCTGCCTCTGCTTCCAAAGACTTACAGTATCTGCATTCTGAAGCTTATAGAGTTTGTATTTAATAAGAATTTGCATTTATCTTTGTGCGCATGAAGGAAAAATACTGGAAACCCCGAATTTGTAGCAGTGGTTGGTAATCTTGCCAATGGTGTTACATACGATTTTGGTTGCTGTTCCTCCATGTTAATTTTTCAGTGAAAGAATTGTTGCTTACGACTGGGGATTTAGCTCAGTGGCACAGCACCTGCCTGGCAAGCGTGAAGGTCCTGAGTTTGATCCCTGGTACCCCCCCCAAAAGAAAGAATTTCTTAACATTTTGGTGCCTCCTCTTTTTTAAAAATCATAGTTGTGGTTTTGTGTGCATTTACAGTGTAGAATCACTTAACAGTTTTTAGCTTACCTTTTTTCACTTCATATTTTGTTGTGAGCATTTTTCTTTCTCATTCAGTAACCTTCAAAAATGTGGGTTAGGGCTAGGGATTTATCTCAGTGGTTCCGCTGCCTGCCTTGTAAGCGCAAGGACCTCAGTTCGATCCCTGGTACCAAAAACAAAACAAAACAATGTGGCTTATTGGTTTTAATAGATTCACTGTAAGGGTATTTTATAATTACCTTCCTAAAGCAACTGAACGGATGGTACACAATAGGGAGATACTGTTTGACTTTGTTACTGGCAACTTCCATGGGTACAGAAACCACGTGTAAGAGTTGGGTTTTCTGTCTTGATTCGCAGCAAGCTTCACTGCCTGCACTTCAGTTCCTGGGACTCCAGCAAGGAGTGGATGGCGGACATGCCGCAGAGCGAGGATGTCGAAGCCGTCTGCCTCGGACAGGGCTGGGCTGCAGCCGCCACCAGTGCCCTGCTCCTGCGGTTATTCTCCATCGGCGGTGTTCAGAAAGAGATCTTCAGCCTGCCGGGGCCCGTGGTATCATTGGCAGGACACAGAGAGCAGCTTTTCATCGTTTATCACAGAGGTTGGGTTTTTTTCCAGTCTTTTATAGTTTGCCATGATGTGGAATAATATGGAATTTACCTGATTTGTTGTTGATCTGGAACTATATTCCTGTACATGGTTTTGCATTTATTTAGTATTTGCATCAGCGTGATATTTAAAGGTAGAGATTTTGTTGTATTTACCAATAGCAGTGCCAGTGGGAATTTCCTAGTTACAAAAGAATTGCGCTGTAGAGGGATCACAAGGTAGAGTCTGCTTCATTGCTTCCATCTCTTAAGTCTTTCAAGAAGCACACTGAAGGACTAGCAGAGTTTGTTCCTCGGAAATGAATTAACCCCTCTTGTGCAGGGCTGGGACAACTTTATGTGTGACTCTTCAAAAGCTGCTGCATTTTCCTCACCTGCTGTTCTATCTTCAGTCCCCACCGCTGCACTAAGCCTCGTCTTGTCAGGGTTACAGAAGATCTCTTCACTTTCTTTGTTTTTGTTTTTCTTTCCATTTGCATTGGAAATGCTTTATTCTCTTGATTTCTGTGCCATTCTTCTCCAAAGTTCTTTCTCACTGACGACTCCTCTCACCTCTTCTGCTGGTCCCTCCCTCGGTGCTGCCTTGAGCTGGAGTTGGCTTTCTTGTCTGGTACGGTCTCAGGTTCAAGATCTTCCACTTTCCACAGCTTAGCCACAGTAAAAACTAGCTTCTACGATGCCACTGTGTATATATCTGCAAGTGCGACAGAACAAAAGTCTCAGGGACAGTGTTAACTCTCTAATTTTATTTTTCTGTAATACTTTAAATTGCTCTTGTGACTCAGACCCAAACATGCAAGTTGGAGAAGCTGCTCTGGGCGGTTTATCTGAAACCACGGCCTTGGGAACATCCCTGTGTCCCCGACTTTGCATTCCATGTCCTCAGCAACTCCCTTGCGTGTCCCCAGACTCTTACACCAGGTGGCTCACTTGACATTCTGAGCAGGCCTCTCAAACTGAAACACTCTGCAGCCGTCTCTTCCTTTCCTCCACCCACAGCCTGACCCAGTCCGCGTGGCGTTGTTTAGACCATGGTAGCCTTCTGGTCAGTCTTTTGGCTGGTTCTTGCCTTTAGCAGTGCATTCTTCACAGAGCAGCCAGATGAAGTCTTTTAGGCCCTCGCTCTCTTCCCAGCTCTTCCGGACTTCCCTTCACTTGTGGGGTAACAGACAAACTCAGCACAGCTGGCCAGGCGATCACTGACCTCGTGTGATCTGTGGTCAGGCTCTTAGCCTCGTCCTGCCGCCTTCTCTGTCATTCCCGTCTCCTGGCCCTGCTGGACACTTCATGTTCTTTGGGCACTCAGCTCGTCCCTGTCTGCCAACCTTTCCTGGCTTTCCATTTGGCCGCTGTGGTCTTCCTTGCTTTGCTGGCCCCAACTTGCAGTTCCTACCTCAGTTCCAGTTATATTTTCTGTAGATTACTCTGGTCTAAAGTAACCATTCTCTCTGGCACTCTGTATCACATTGAATTTTTTTTCTCCCGGATACCAAGGATCAAACTTGGGTCCTTGCGCTTGCAAGGCAAGCAGTGACACCACTGAGCTAAATCCCTGGCCCTATTAATTGAATTCTTTGGTAGCTTTTTTTTCCTGTTTCTGTTTCTATTTCTTGATGTGTCTGTCTTCTGCCTGTCCATGAATATCCTGCAGACGATAACCGCTATCCCTGTTGCCCCTTTGCCTAAAGCAGTGCCTGTACCTGGAAGTTCTCTGTAAATATTTCCCGAGTGAAGGAATGACCACTTAGGACCAGTCTGTATAAACAGTCCGTGTAGCTATCATTCTGCTTCTCATCCCAGTGTGGGGCCTCGTGTGGCTCAGCCTTGGAAACAGTGCCAGTTCACATTAGAATTCATCACACAGTCACCTCCGAAAATAATGTGGGTGGCAGTATCACTCAATAACCTTTGCCGCCTGACTTACATTTCCACTTTCTGATAGGTACAGGATTCTATGGAGACCAATGTCTTGGAGTTCAGCTGTTAGAGCTGGGGAAAAAGAAGAGGCAGATTTTGTGTGGTGATCCTCTTCCCCTAACAAGGAGATCCTACCTTACGTGGATTGGATTTTCAGCTGAAGGCAAGATCAATTTATTTGTTTAAAGATAACTTTCAAGAGGAAAATCATTTCATTGTTTTAGTCGTAATATCTTTAAAGATACATTGCCTGTATTTTACATTTAAATTTCTGTATTTTAATGTTGGCAGAACTGGAAAGTGCAATTGTTAGGCAAAGTAGCCATCATTTTATGTGCAAGATCTCTTAAGAATTTTGACTGGGAAACTTCCAAAGAGGAAGCTATATTTTTCTTAGCTACATTTATTGGATAGATAGCAAAGAGGAGATGTAAATTGATGGTAAGTTGTATCTTTTTCTGTGAATTTTGCTTAAAGATTAGGAATTTTTTGACACTGCACTGTCTGATACAGTTAACTCCAAGTAGCTGTTCAGCACTTGAAATGTGGCTAATCTGAATTAAGATGTGAATATAAAATACTGTCTGCATTTCAAAGACTTAGTGTGAGAAAAGGAATAGTAAAGAACTCAATTCTTTTATGCCGATTACATGTTAAATGGTAATGTTTTAGATATACTGGATTAAATACATTATTGATAAAAACTAGCTTTCCTTTTTCATTGTTAAAGTAGCCCTGTGGATAAAAAATTACATTTGTGGCTCATGCAGTGTTCTGTGCCCATTTATGGTGGCTCATGACACAGTTTGAAGGATAGGAAGACCTTGCCTTAGAGCACCATTAGCCCTCTCTCGGGGGCTTCAGTATTTTTTGCTACTAGGGGTTTATGCCCCTCATTTGTATTGTTGAAAACCTGTTTATTGTGAAAGTATTGGCCATTTCTGGATTGGTTTCCTGTTGGCATGTGATCATTTGTGCTTAACTAATGATGATTCCCATTTATATAGCTTTTCTTTCCCATGAACCAATCAGATGCAGTCCCTGGGAAGCTGATGTTTGCAGAGTGGGCAGGGTGATTAGACAGCTTGCCAGGTGCATTTGCAGAGTAAGTGGGAGACAGTGACCCCTGCCTATTTTCTGAGAACTGCTCACCTGCTCTGAGGACAGACAAGTGATGAAGTCATCAAAGAAAAGAGGGAGAAATCAGTAATGACATTTTTCTTTATATCACCATGTTGTATTAGTTTCTGGTGTTCTATCAGGTCTCTGAAGAGGAGCCTTCATGTATATTTTGTTTCTTGAAATTGGCTTAAAAGTAGCTATACTCCAGCAGGTGGCACAGTGTTCACCAGAACTGCTTTTCTCTTTATTTGGCAAATTTTAGTCTTACCATGTAGTTTTCTTCCATTATCTCAGACTCTGTGCAGTTAATAAAGTCTTACAGAAAGTAGTCTTGGATTATTTGCCTTTTCTTTTGATTGGTTTGGTTTGGTTTTAAGGTTGTTTTGTTTTGTTTTGTTTTTGGTACCTGGGATTGAACTGAGGACCTTGTGCTTGTGAGGTAGGCGCAGTGCCACTAAGCTAAATCCCCAGCCCTTTTTTTTTTTGCTTTTGAAATGAACATCGAGCTTTGGGTGTATAATCTTGAGTCATGGGCTGTTTCTCCAAGTGGTTTCTTCTTTTTGTTGTCCAGGAACGCCCTGCTACGTGGACTCTGAAGGCTGTGTTCGGATGCTTAACCGAGGGCTGGGCAACACTTGGACGCCTGTGTGTGACACCAGGGAGCACTGCAAGGGGAAATCCGACCACTGCTGGGTGGTGGGAATCCACGAAAACCCCCAGCAGCTCAGGTGGGCAGCTACAAACTGGATAAAGTGGACTGTGTCCCAGAAGGGATCTTGAATTTCCTCGGAGGAGGCTTAGTGAGCCCGAGTGAGGAACTTGCTTTCCGTTGTCACTAAAACAGGAATGTTTGCATTTGCTTTGAAGTTTTCAGCCAACTGCTTTAACTTGGTGAACAAAATAGAGATGACGTTTATCCACGTGACTTTAGCACCCCTGCAGCCAGATAGGGAAAGGGTTCTAGTTAAACAGTCTTTAAACACCGGGAGTGCCTGGTGTCCAGTCTGTGAGTGACCTCACGAACTGCTGCCCCAAACGGTTGCTCAGCAGCCCCGCAGGGGTAACGGAGTGGTGGCCGCTGTCCCTTGGGGTCCATCCTGAGCCCGCCACCCCTCAGCCTTTCTCTTCACTTCCTCTATATGACACAGTGAGGTGCTAAAGGTGGAGTAGCTCACCCGAGGCCCCAAACCTGCATTTTCTGTATTAAAATACCAGTGGGAGTGGAGGGAACAAGTCTGTCTGCAGAGAAGGAAGTCTTATGCCCCACACGTGCCGGACACTGAGCAGTGCTAGGGAACCCGCTCATGAGAGCTGACTTACTTGCATCCGCTGTGATAGGCTGCTTTATCTCAGGGTGTTTGCCTGTTTTCCTGGCTTTATTGTGGAAAATAAACTCGAGCAATTTTCAGAGATTGGAAATCACACTGCTCGGTGCAGCCTGTTGCACTTTTGTACCGGCTCTGCTCGTGTCCCGGGGTCTGCAGGGAGGGATTTTTCCTTCCCACACAGGAGAGGCCAGGGAGGAAGCCCTGCGCCCCCGCCATGGCTGTGTTTATGAGGCTCACCTGTCCTCGCTGGTGAGCAGGCCATCCTGTGCTTATTTAATTTGTGCTGCTTCTGTTTGCTCTAGGTGGTGGTGGTGGTGGTGGTGGAGGCGGCAGCCAGCTACTTCTGCAGAGAGGCCGGGTGGCCTGGCAGCCCCACGCTGCCTGCTGCAGTGTCTGGGCCGACCTGCTCGCTGCTTAGACCCCGGGCTGCTTTTCCTGTCCAAAACCAAACCGTGCCCGTCCGACAGAATCCCCACAGAGAGGAAGCAAGTCAGTGCATGTGTGGGACGAGCGTGTAGCAGAACTTAGCACTTAGCATTAATTGAACGTTAGCTATTATGAGAATGGTGGTTTTTTACTATTCTTTGGTCTTTTCCTTTTAAAATATTTTTTCCAGCCCACTTCAGCAGTAATAATGCTTTCTTCGTTTAGGGATCTTTTACAAGAGAAGAGGATACATTTTGTTAAAATATTTTTTACAGAGCTGGGCATGGTAGCGCATGCCTGTAATCCCAGCACTTGAAGGCTGAGGCAGGGAGGATTGCTATGAGTTTGAGGCCAGCCTGAGCTACAAAGTGAGACCCTGTCTCCAAAAAATAATTTTTTTTATAAATTCATTAATGCAAAATACCTTTAATTATTAAATTAAGAAGCTATTTGTGGAAGTATCATCTCTACCCCCTTTGAATTAACTTTAGTTAGCAAATCTGTCTTTATAGTTTCCACTAAAGATGTTTTCATGGTCGCTCCTAGTTAATTCATGACCAAGTGAACTGATTTTGCTGTGCTAGAGTCTTAACTGGCTCTGCAAACAGTAAGCTTTTTTCTTTAGTTTTAAAAAAACTGAAGTTTTTTTGTTTTGTTTTGTTCTGTTGCTGTTTTGTTTTGTTTTTGCGATGCTGGGAGCTCAGGACCTTGCACTTGCGAGGCAGGTATGGGGCCACTGAGCTGAATCCTCAGCCCCCAAAGCTGAAGGGTGTGAAGGAGCATGTGAAGACCTCCCAGGGACTTGTCCGAGTTCTGGCTGCGCTTTTGTGCGCATGCTGTGCTGTGCACAGGTGGGTTAGAGCTCATGGCTGCAGGGTGCATCACATCACCTGCACAGTGCCCTCAAGGAGGTGCCGTTAGAGCCCTGCCCGGTGCAAGTGGAGGCAGAGCTGTTTGGCTGGAGGTGCCTCTGGACATTGGCCTAGCTTTTTGCAGTTTGCTGTGTTTTCACCTCTTTATATTATACGAGAATAGATTTTATGAAAAGTTTGAAAAAGAATTGAAGTAGAGCACTTTTGTCTTTGTAGAGGCTGTGGTTTACTTTTTTGAATTTCCTCCTCCAGATGGTTTAGGAACATGCTTTCGAGGCATCTCATTCATAGGAGGCAAAATCCCACCAATTAGTAGTCAGAACAGAATGTTCGCTTTTTCCTCTAATTCTTCCTAGAGAGGTATGTTTAACAGAGGAAAAGTCTTTCTTAGGTGAAGTTTTTGGTGTAGGGGTAGTGGACAAGGGATTGTGAATTGAACCCAGGGCCTTTGCCCTGAGCTACATTCTCAGCTTTTTTTTTTTTTTATTTTTTATTTTGAGACAGGGTCTTACTAAGTTATCCAGGTTGGGCTCAAACTTGGGATCCTCCTGCCTCAGCCTCCCCCCATCTCAAAAGAAAAAATAAAATTAAGTGACTATTAACAAAATCCTAACCACTATCTTTTTCTTTGTGATAATTGTTTGCTGTGTCTAAATCAGTAAACTATTTGAACTGTAAAATATTTTTAAACAAAAGATGTAGAAAAAAAGGCTGGACAAAATCAGTGGTCCGCATTTGTTCACACATGTATAATGTGTGTGACTGTGCTTTCCTTTGTGTAGATGTCTGCTGCCCTTCTCTTATATCTGAGCAGTAGCTGTGGTGGGTGGGAATCAGGTGCCTGGCACTCGCTGCAAGATCTGTTTCTCATGCTCCCTCAATCTCTGTGCTGACTACGGGTTTCTATAAGATCAGACAAGGGAGAGGAAAGAGAAGATAAGAGTGCAGATTCAACAAAATTGGAGCTCTGAAAGCATGTTTGTGCTTTTATTGTATACTCACAAAAAGAAGGCAAGGTGTTTCCATCTCGTGGAAAGGAAGCTTCTTCCATTTGAAAAACACCTACTATTGTACTTCTTAATTGCTCCAGTAGGCATTTAATAGTAGGAGCTGTTGTGGAGGAAACCCAGGGGCCTGCTTTCTTCCAAGTACTTACCTCAAGAGCACCTTGGCTTCAGCCCTGACTAAAAGGCCATACTCTGAATCACTTCGACAGATGTTAGAAACATTGGCCAGAGTACTGTGTTTACAAAGTAACCTTAGGAAAACAAAACTCCACGGTACTTACAGTGTGCACGTCGGTTTTCTAGTAGTTTCCTCATAAGTCCTTTGTAGTGTGTGAGTTGAGTGTTGTTTCTGCACACATACACGTGTGTGTATGTGCATATGTTATACATGCATCTTTCTGTGATGAACACATACTTTTTAATTAAATTGCATACATTCTTTTCACGATGGGATCCTTTAATGTCTCAGCCTGGTCAGCAAAGACTTAGACGATCTGCACCGATGCCCCTATTAGGCAGCTTTGATTTAGCAGAGCAGTGTCGACTAGAAGCTTCCTGTCGATACCGGGCACTCTGCTCCACTCCCCAATACCTAACAAACACCAGGTCATGTTGCCGTCTTGTCTTGCCACACGGTACCATCTGTCCCAAGGTTTCCAAACCCACTGCACGAGGTAAAAGTGAGTTGGCTGCCTGGTAACGTCAGCCCTGTGGCACAGCTTATCAATTTAGGTCGTGTTTGGAAAGGAAAGTTGCTAAGGAAAGTCTAAAGAGGGCGGATTCCACTTTGGGTGGTGATTATTAAGTAAAGCTGAGAAGGGAATTTGGAAATACCGAAAGTGCATGGAGGTATCATCTTTATACCCGGTCAGGCTAACATTCCTTCTTAAAAAGAAATCTCTTACATATTTTTAAGCCAGCTAATGGAGTTATATTACTAGTCTTACTTACTAACTTTTGAAAGTTTTTTGATTAGCAGCAGTTTTGTGACATGCAGAAAGTTTTTACAGTGGGATTTTTTTTCCTGACAGGTGCATCCCTTGTAAAGGCTCACGGTTTCCTCCCACCCTTCCACGCCCTGCAGTGGCTGTGTTGTCCTTTAAGCTTCCTTACTGTCAGATTGCAACAGAGAAGGGACAGATGGAGGTACGTGAGAGTCACGGTGACGCTGTGTCGTTACAGTCATCACGATGACGAGTGCTGAGTATTTATTATTCTGTCATTTGCTTCCAGGGACTTGGCCCATGAGGTAAATAATGAGGGCTGTCAGGGCCTTACAAGGCAAGGCCATCTGCCCAGGGTCTGGCAGGTACTCGTACATTGTGTGACGTAAGCGCCAGGCTCGTCCTAGCCCTGGGTCATTAAAAGTCATTTGAAACCTGGCAGTAGTCACTCTAAACAAGAAGCAAATTATCTTCTTCAGATGCTTACCAAGTTTTCTGAGCATTAACTATGATAGCTAGCTATCTGTTTAGAGCATTATGTGTACACACACACACACACACACACACACACACCTTTTTTAAGGATAGAAGTTAGAGCCAAGCCAGAATATCACACTGGGATTTGAACTGTAAATTAAACTTACAGGAAAGAGGATTTCAGAAAGCATTCAGAATCGTGAATCCTCAGGTAAATATTTGATACTTGCCTGGTATTAGGTGGTGTTTGGCTCTAAGCATTTTTATCCATTTTTATAGGAGCAGTTTTGGCGCTCAGTTCTATTTCACAACCACCTGGAATACTTAGCCAAAAATGGTTATGAATATGACGAGAGCACTAAAAACCAAGCAATAAAAGAGCAACAGGAACTTTTAATAAAAATGCTTGCGGTAAGTAAAACAAACACCCTGAAAAATATTAAAGTTAAATGTTTTCTATAGATTTGTGAGTCTGCATAAGAAAGATATGTGAATAAGCACCTGGGAGTCTTATGTTGTGTTTGGTGTTATTGTTGTTGTTTTGTTTTGTTTTCCCCGATACTGGGAATTTGAACTCTGGACCTTGCACTTGCTAGGCAGATGCGGTGCCACTGAGCTGTATCCCCGGCCCCAGAAGTCTTTAAGTTTTATCTCATCATATTTTTCCTTCCTAAAAGTTCTGTTTTCCACTTGATGTTGCTGTTAAAATACTTAAAATGTCACTTTGTAGCTGAGACCGACAGAAATAAAGCCCTGGTGCTGCCTCCCTGGCTGGGCCCCGGTCTTTTCGCAGCTGCCGGTGCCGCCTGACGTGGGAGCCTCTGCTCAGGCTCAGCCCATTGCAGGCCACAGCTCAGGTGGCACTGTTCCACGTCTCCAGGGCTGAGCACTGCTGCAGAGGCGCCTGCTTTTCGTCGTCCTCCAGTTAGATGACAGTTGTGGTGGCAGTCTGTCTGTAGCCAGCGGCCAGCTTTGGTGCCTTGGATGCTGAGTTACATTTATCTTTGCAGCAGAGACTCTGCAGGTCCTGTGTTTGTATCCTCACATGAGTCGGGTGCTCCTGTTCTGTGTTAGGCCTGCCCTTGACTGTCAGCCTTTGGGGCAGTGACTGTGTGTCCCATTAGCCCAGTCACTGAGAGCCACATTGCCCCCTTTCCTTTCCAAGCACCCCAAGACAGACACAGCTGCCCTGGCTCAGGAGCACTGCGGCAGGCATGATACAGTCCTGGAATCTCAAGGACCTCCAGGCCTGTATTGGGGGCTGCGTAACAGTCTGCTCCTCCTGCTCTGAATCTGAGACCCTCCGTGGCCTTCCTCACTTTGGTCTGTCTCCTTACTTATTTTTTGGTACTGGGGATCGAACTCAGGATCTTGCACTTGGAGGCAGGTGGCAGCATCACTGAGCTGGCCCCCTTCCTCACTTTGAACTGGAGTCACCTGAGTTGCCAAAAATTCAGACCAAATGGCGGTGTTTTCTCAGACATGTTAAATGAATGGAAGTTAGGTATCTTTTCCTGGTGCTTAAAGATCTTGGAAGTCACACTTAAAAATTTAAGGACAAGTCTACTTCTTCCTACCCCATTTCACTTAGTAGCATTTGTGCACCAGTTCTCATAGTAGTAATTGACTTAAAATTTAAAACCTCAGATTTTCTACCCTGTCAGTGTGGGTGGCAGCTGGAAAACAAATTTAAAAGAACCACATTTGAGCCACAGTGGCACATGTCTGTGATCCTAGCACTCGGGAGGCCAAGGCAGGAGGATGCCATAAGCTTGAGGCCAACCTGGACTACATAGGGAGACCCTGTCTCCAAAAAAAAAAAGAACCACAGGACCGGGGATTTAGCTCAGTGGTTTCAGCACCTGCCTCCCAAGCACAAAGGCTGGAGTTTGATCCCTGGTGGGGAAGAAAAAAAAAAAAAAAAAAAGAACTACATTTGACTTTTGAAAGAGCTCTTTACTCTGTAATTTACAACTTGAAATGATGTCATACAGCATTGCATTGAAGCAGCTATTGATCATTTCTTTTTTTTGTTTTCTTTTTCGTACTGGGGATTGACCTCGACCTATCACTTGTGAAACAAGTGGTAGAACCACTGAGCTACATCTCTGGCCCAGCCCTTTTTTTGGTTTTTTGAGACAGGGTCTCACTATGTAGTTAAGACTGACCTGGAACTCACTGTGTAGCCCAGGCTGGTCTCAAACTCCCAGCGATCCTCCTGCCTCAGCCTCCCAAGTGCTGGGATTACAGGCGTGCGCCACCACACCCAGCAGCTGTTGATCTATTGATTGTAGCATGCACTGTTCTTTTCTTCACTTAAGCCACTGAAACAGAAAACAGTGCTGCCAAGCTGACCTAGCTTTCATTGTCAAATGCTTTCCAATTGCAGAAATGTTAGTTTGTAAAAGTGTACATTTTTTTTGTTTGTTTGGTTGGTTGGTTTTTTTGAGACAGGGTCTCACTGTGTAATTGAGACTGACCTGGAACTCACTATGTAGCCCAGGCTGCTCTCAACTCACAGTGATCCTCCTGCCTCAGCCTTCCGAGTGCTGGGATTACAGTTGTGCACCACCACGCCCCACTAAAAGTGTACATTTTTGAATTGATGAGAAAGTTTCTAGAAAGCTGGTTTTTTTTGTTTTTGTTTTTGGTACCAGGGATCGAACTCAGGTCCCTGTGCTTGCGAGACAGGTGGTGGCACCATTGAGCTAAATCCCCAGCCCTAGAAAACTGTTTTACCAATACTGTGTTTTTGAAAAGCTTTTACTGAACATAATTTGAGGTTTTTTTGCTTTGTTTTGTTTTTCCTTTTTGGTTTAGCTTTCTTGTAAACTGGAGCGAGAATTCCGTTGTGTGGAACTTGCAGATCTCATGACTCAAAATGCCATAAATTTAGCCATTAAATATGCTTCTCGTTCTCGGAAATTAATATTGGCCCAAAAACTGAGTGAACTTGCTGTAGAGAAGGCAGCTGAATTGGCAGCATCTGAGGCAGAGGAGGAGGAAGAAGAGGAGGATTTCAGAGAAAAGCTGAATGCCAGGTCAGACACTTGAGTTGCGTTTCCCTTTAGCATCCGGAACACCGGGTTAGTGCTTCTGTAGCTCCTCTCGAATTGCGCTGTTGTCTGTAGTTACAGTAACACTGCCACGGAGTGGAGACCGCCAGGGCTCTGCAGTCAGATGGAAGAAGATGCCGGGGGCGGAGGAGAAGCTGGTGAGGCAGAAGCAGACCCCGGACCCCGTGAGCAGGGTGAGGCACATGAGCAAGGGACAGAAGAGGGAAATGTCGTGGCTGTGGCTGTCCCCATTGGCCTGGCTAAGGGATACGAGTCCCCTACCTTTTCGAGCCATCAAATAATAAGAATGACTCTACTTTCATCATTTACACTGAATTGTCTTTATTAATTACATCTAGAACAGAACTCATTTTCCGAAAGTGCAAATTCCTCTGATGTGCCGGCCATTAAGTCAGGTGAGAAACACTTACAAATTTGTAACGTCAAGGAGGTTTTGCATGTAATTAAAGTGATTCATCTGCTTAAATATACTTTCCTTTTGGGACTTGTGTTACTGTTTAATCGGAGGTGTGACTTGTGAAGTGGGTCGTTGAGCCCGTATTTATTGAATGCCACCCTGTGTTGGGCGTTTTGCTGGATAGAGATGCAGAACTCAAGTAGACATGAATGTTAGTCCCTGCCTTAGTGCCATTTTAGCCCTGCCGGGGAGACAGATGTGGACAGATGTGTGTCATCATGGAAACATTCAGGGTGCTGGAGAAACTGAAAAGGAGTTGAAAGTGGTTGGTTTTGGGAAGTGCGACAGGGGACAAAAGGTTGGAGTAGGGGACTGCTGGGTTTTGGTTGTTTTCTCAGTATTGGGGTTCGAACTGAGGACCTTGCACTTGCCAGGCAGGCACAGTGTCACTGAGCTAAAGCCCCTTCTCTGGGTTTTTGTTTTGTTCTGTCTATTTTTACATAATCCTTAAGGTGCCCTTTGACCGTTAAAACTGTGTACATATATTACTTTGATATTCCTTTAAAAATTGAGTACAGAGCCGGGGATTTAGCTTAGTGGTTCCAGCACCTGCCTTGCAAGCACAAGGGCCCAAGTTTGATCCTTGGTACCAAAAAAGTTGAATACGCATGTTACTTAGATAAATATTAACTTGAAAAGCATGTGTGTAGTGTTAAGAGAGCATAAGGTCCCATCAGTTGTGTGGATGGTGGGGACCCAAGGAAGACCTTGTGGAGTGTCTGCAGCAGAGACCGGAAGATGAACAGGTCGGCCAGGCAGCAGAAGTGGAGCAGAGGCCAGGCCTGCCACCTGCGAGAGAATTAAGGTGCTTTGAGTAGCACTTAGGGTCTGATGGCAGAGCAGCAGCTGAGGGTGTGGTCTTCATTCCCCAGCTGCCTCTAGCGGTTGTGGTCAGCTGGAGAAGCCCATGAAAGCTTGGGAGGCTGAGGCAGGAGGATCACTGAGTTCGAGACCAGCCTGGGCTACATAGTGAGTTCCAGGTCAGTCTCAACTACGAAGTGAGACCCTGTCTCAAAAAAATAAAAAAAAAAAGAGCCCATGAAGCTGTCCATATGGGACTGAGCAGCAGCGAGGCCAGATGGGAGAGCCATGGGGGTAATTCTAAGTCACAGAGCGGGACCTGAGGGTGCCAAGGAGGACTGCAGTTTCTAGGGGCCCAGGCTGAGATGGAGAGGTCACCGTGAGGTGGGTGGAGCGCCTCAGAGACATTTGGGTTGGGAGAAAGCTGGGAAAGCGTCCAGCTGAGAGATGTGAAGTCCAAGTCATTGGTGTAGCTTAAACCATGGGCACAGTGAGCAGACGCTGGGAGAGTATGTGACGAGCAGAGAAAAAGGGCTTGGGCCTGGGGATCCCCAACGGGTGGTATCCAGAAGAGCAAGGAGTGGGTGTTTCACAGTGGCAGGCTGGGACAGTTCCCACTCTAGGTTGTTTTGTCTTGGAAGTAGGAAAGAAGTCATTGTATTTGTTAATAAAAGTTTAAAGTTACGGTGTACCTTTGTTTTTATATACTGTATATAGATGAAAGCATTCGATCTAGTATTACAGAAATTAGAAGTCATCTGTTTTTTGCCACTAGTGTTAAGTAAGAGTTTCTTTTTTGTGAAAGGTGCAGTTACTCCTAGCAACCAAGGACGAGTAAACCCCTTCAAGGTAAACTTGCCAGTGATGTTTCTGCTACTGAAATACATGACCAGACCAAGTGGTATTTCCAGACGGGCCGCCTTGCTGCCGGACAGTTTTTTCACCTTATCTTTAAGTACTGTTGGCTTAGGACCACGCTTCTGGTTCAGGGGGAAGTGGCATTTCAGAATATAGACTTTGTCTTATTTTGGATTGTAACCACATGTGGTCATTTCCAAGGATGAGACCAAAATATAAATGTGACAGAAATTTGAAGGGAAAATGAATCTGTTGAGATTTTTGTTTTCTTCTCTAACATGAAATGCTCACCCGGGTTTGCTCTTAGGTATTGGCCAGTTCCAGGGAGCCAGCCCTGTCCATGAACTCCTCGCGCCCACCAAATATTTTAGACAGCATGAGCAAATTATCCCGGCAGCCTGCTGCCCAGAGCCGAGCAGCCCGCAGTGAGAGGTCGCCTGTGATCAAGCCTCTGACCCCCAAGCCGAAGTCTAAGCAGGTAGTGTCCGGTGTCCACACTGCAGGGCATGGCCGGGGCTCCTCCGTTCCCGGGCTCATTGTGCAGCTCCGGAGTGGCTTCTCATAGGCTTCTGCTCCAGAGTTGTGCGTGCGTGTGTGTCTGTGTCTGTCTCTCTGTCCATCCATCCTAAGGGCCTCGGCGTCCCTCCATATGTTGTAAAATCTCCCACATGGTTGTGGTACAGCCCTGTCTACTGTACGTGGTTACAGTATGCGACCCTTGCTCTAATTTTAGAATTTGTCCACTGCCGTCCACATTTTACCTCACATTTGTTGTCAGTTAAGTAGATTTATTACTTATCTTCGCCATTTCCCACCATTGTACTCACTTAGAAAACACAGAACGTGATGCAGAGTGTTTAGGGGTTTTGTGTGACCCAGTTATTTTCAGCTGAGAATTTAAAACTTCGCTTGTTGGAATAAGAATTCTAAATAGCCGGGCATGGTGCCTCATGCCTGCAATCCCAGCATTTGGGAAGCAGAGGCAGGAAGATTGCCATGCGTCCGACAGCCTGTGCTGCAAAGTGAGACCCTGGCTCAAAAAAAAAAAAAAGGAATTCTAAATAACTAAATGTTTCTTCGCATATGTCAGAATTTTCTTGTGACATAAATTCTATTTGATTTAATGATGATACCTGTTTTTCTAGGCATCTGCAGCATCCTATTTCCAGAAAAAAACTCCTCAGCCCGATAAGACCAAGGGAGGGAAAGAGGAGAATCCTACACCTGCGTCCCCTGTAGCCCCTGCTGTGTGCTCTCCACACGCCGAGACCCCGAGGTCAGTGGGGGGCCGGCTCTGTGCTGCAGGCCCGGTCTGCTTGCTCAGGAAGTCACCATGCTGCTTGAGTATGCCTTCAGTTCTGGCTGCCTTTCACTGGGCCACTGCGTTTTACAAATTCATTTTTGTTTTTAATAGTATAAGCCAGGCACGGTGGGCACACACCAGTAATTCTAGCGCTTGGGTGGCTGAGACAAGATCACTGTTGAGTTCAAAGCCAGCCTGAACTACATAGTAAGACCCTGTCTCAAAAAAACAAAAAAATAGTATAGTTACACAGGGGACAACAACAAAAGGTAAAAAATATGTATGACAGCTAAGTGTGGTGGCACACACCTGTACACGGGAGGCTGAAGCAGGAGGATCACCAAGAGTTTGAGATCAGCCTGGGCTACATAGTGAATTCAAGGCCAGCCTGGACTACATAGCAAAACCATCACAAAATAACAACAACAATAACAACTGTGTGTGTGTGTGTGTGTGTGTGTGTAATTTTTATATATTTGTGTCTTGTATTCCTTTACAGTTTCAATTATTATGTACTTCTAATTCTGCTAGTTATGGCCGTGTTTTACATTGATGTTGTATCATTTTATATATCTCTAGCGTTCTGAGAATTCCATTTGTCCATATCCTGTTTATCCACCAACACAATATATTTTAAGTCTGCTACTTCCCTCCCTCTCTTCTTTCCTGCCTTTTTTTTTAAGGAGGAAAGGTTTATTTCGGCTCATAGTTTGTAGAGGTTTCTGTCCATGTTGGCTTGTTCCAAAGCAGGGTATAATTGCCGGGGATTTGACTCAGGGGTTCTGCCACCTGCCTTCAAGCACAAGGCCCAGTTGGATCCCTGGTACCAAAAAAAAAAGGTACAAAGCAGGGTCGCATGGCAGAGGGGCATCACAGAGAAGGAAAAGCCATGGTGTAGCAAGTATAAGCTAGTCTCCTTTTTTAAAATTTTTTTTTATTTTTGAGATGACGTTTCACTGTGACTCCAGACTGGCCTCAAACTCCTGAGTCCAAGTGATCCTCCTGCCTCAGCCTTGCTCACAGGCACTCACCACCACACCTAGCTTACTACATTTCTTGATCTCCAGTGTGCCAGATTTATTGTATATAGCATAAAATTTAAAAAGTCACCCTTTTTCTTTTAGCATTACATCTCTCATTTTCTTAACTAGTTTAATTTGAGCAGAAGAGAATAGCTGTGGTTTTAACTTGTGGTTTTTTTTCCTGTTTCATTCTAAATTTGATTTATACTTAAACTGGAACTTTTATTTAAGAAGATGGATAATTCTGCTTTCTGTACTGTCAGTTGCCTGTATAGAGAACATACCTTTTGAAATCTCTAATCACCGTATTTAGTCAGATATTTTGTCACAGATGTTGATGTACTGCATCAGAAGGAAAAACTCAGTTTGTTTTCCTTTGAAAAACAGCTGTTTAGATGCAGGAGATTGCATGCTATTAGTCTGACTTGTGATGTTGGGCCAAATTTTGATTAAAATTAGTTTTCTAATGTCTGGAAATTCAAGAACTTTTGTTCAGCATTGATTTTTGTTCGTAATATTTTTCTGGGAATGAGTTTAAATTAAGACTGCTTAAAATTTGTGCATTTCAAACATTAGGCATGGGGTTATAGTCATACTCTAAATATTTTTTAATGACTTGTTCTACAAGTTTAAAAGTTTAGACAAAAACAACTCAATTTTACTGTTTTGTAGAGGTAGTCCTTTCCGTCTAATGTTTTGTGTGAATTTAAGATTTTGTACTTGATGAGGTTTGTATTAGGGGTACAGTTTTATATTCTGTGTTTTTGTTTGCAGTTAAACACATTTTGTCTGTTCTTTGAGACAGGGTCTTGCTATGTACCCCAGGCTGGCCTCACACTCAGTGATCCTCCTTCAGCTTCCCTAGTGCTGGGATTACAAGTGTGCACTACCACACCCAGGTCCCACTTAAAATCTTGTCATACACATTTTCCCTGGCATCTTCGTTGTGTTTTTTAACTTATTATTTAGTCTGCATACAGCTCAGACGTAGAGAAAGGCAGTGTAGCAGTGGGTGAATTTGGGGACCCTCAGCCTGGCTCCAGTTTTGGAAGCCCCTGCAGCAAGCCGCTCCTTCCCGTGTCCTCAGTGAGGACACTCACTGCTTGCAGTCCCAGCCCGCTGCGAGTCTGTGAGCTGATGGTTGCACACAGCCCTCAGGGTGCCTGCAGGTGGCACTGCCGGAAGCTGGAAAGGGCCCCGCAGACCTCCACTCACAACCAGTGATCTGGAGGGGATACACAGCCAGGCTACATCCGCCTTGCATGGTGCCGATGGGGAAAGGTGCCAGGTCGCCAAGAGAGCGGGGTGTGGAGGGGATGGCAGGGCCGAGTGAAGTCAGGAGGATGACCTGGACCTTGGAGGCAGAGTGAGTGGGGACCCGGAGCCTCAGCGTTCAGAACAGGGGTTAAAAGTGCGGAAATCACGGCCCTGCACTTCAGAGACACGAACGTGAGTGACCCTCCAGATTGGCATCTCGGCGGCCCGTTCCGTTCATCAGTCCTGCAGTCCCTGGACACTTAAGTGTTACGAGTATTCCCAGGGCAGTGGGTTTCCCTTCCTCTGCACAGGATTGCAAAGACCTAATAAGTAACGAAAAACACGGTAAGACCAAGTGGTGGCACACACCTGAACTGTCAGCACTTGAGGCAGGAGAATTGCAGGTTTGAGGCCAGCCTGGGCCCTATAATGAGACCTTGTTTCAGACTGTAAAACCCCATAAGCTATGTACTAACCAGAAATTTTTTCATACAATTTCTATTTTAGGCCAAAGACTGGGTTCCAAATGTGGCTGGAAGAAAATAGAAGTAATATTTTGTCAGACAATCCTGACTTTTCAGATGAAGCAGATATAATAAAAGAAGGAATGATTCGCTTTAGAGTTTTGTCAGCTGAAGAAAGGAAGGTAAGGATAATCGTGCTGAGATTAAGATCTCAGTGAATTTTCCAGGCTTGAAAAAGTTTCATAGAAATGCCTTTATTTTTAGAAAATTGAATATAGCATAAATCTCTTGGTGGAGAGGAAATTGATTAAATGGAAATGTCAGTTTGAAACATGTGGATTTGTAGTAATTACTACTGAGTGCCAATACTTAAATTTGGGGCCATTAAGAATTTAAATTTGTGTAAGTTCCTTCGTGTTTATAATTTGGGAAATGCCTCCAAGAAAAGATCCATTAATTGTAAATCAAAAGCAAAAATGTTGAGTAAGTAAAAGAAGTCAATCCTTGTCTTTGAACTCTACTACATTACGGTCCTTGCTTACACAAGAACACTCTTCTGTGGGGACACGGGTGGTGTTGTGTTCTGTTCCCACCTCTCCCACAGAGAGCAGGCTCCTGTCCACCCTGGGAGGGAGGGGGTGCTTCCTTGGGAAGTTGGGTCCTGTGGCATCCAGGTGTCACCTCTGCCACCTCAGCAGTGATATAGCCACTCGCTGTGGGTCTTGAGTAATGAGGACGTTAGAATCTGGCCTAACCACTCCAAACAACCTGTTTATCAAGTTTGTGTTTCCCGCTCTTCTGTCAGTTTTTCTAAAGGGAATAAAGATTCTGCAGAATTAGACACATAGGCATCTGAGTGAATAAAGAGGAGAGACACGGCTTGAACCCAGGCGCATCCCCAGCCCGTGGATGTGGCTTTGAATGCATAAAATTGAATGTCAGCCAGATGCGGTGGCGCACACCTGTAATCCCAGCACTCTGGGAGGCTGGGGCAGGAGGGTCTCAATTTCCAGCCCGCCTGGGCAACAAGGCAATTTAGTAAGACCCTGTCTCAAAGTGAAAAATCAAGGGCCAGGCACATAGTTCAGTGTGAAGGCCCTGTAATCAGTAAATAACGAGGAAGGGACTGTTTTAGAGTAAAAGGTTGAGCAACAGATGAAGCGCCGTGCATTGCTCAGTTTAGTCTGTAACGCTCGGCCTCTGCTTGTGCGGCGTTTCTGAGCAGCAGTGCGGGAGGAGGGAAGCGCAGGTGTGGCTGGCATCTGGGCGGGTGGCGGGCTGGGCCACGGCAGGGACACAGACATGCAGTAGGGGACTGGGGTTCCTGTGTCCCTGCCCCAGCCATGAGAATTGCTCTGCAGCCCTGAAGATGTTAGCACGTGGGGGAACTGGCTTAAGGCCACTCGGGCCCTTCGCACAGTCACCTGTGAGCCTGCGGTCCTCCTCATGCATGGTGGCCCGCACCTCTAATCTGAGTGCACTGGAGGCTGAGGCAGGAGGATTGCAAGTTCTTACCCAGCCTGTGCAACTTGGCAAGAGCCCGTATCGCAGCAAAGTCTAAATAAGGAAAAGTGATCTGTAGCTCAATGCCAGGGCTCTAGGTTTCAGTCTCCAGTCCTGGGGAAAATCATACCCTACGATTATCTCAAAAAGTTCCTGCAGTTATAATATTTTGTACTTAATATGAATAATTACAAGCTGAGTTTAGACTGAAATATCACAGAACTAGAACACCAGTTTTTTTACCCTGCTCTGCAATTAAGAATAAAAGATTTGATGTTTTTAGAAGTGTTTCAGATATTTAACTGCTACATTAAAATTGTGCATATTAGCCGGGCGCCATGTTGGGTTTCAGTACCTGAGCACACTGTAGTCTTTAAAATGGGATTTAGACACACTGAGTGTCTCTGCAGACATTTGCTGCTTTTGTACGGTGAAAGCTTCCCACACCCGCTTCCCCGCTCTCCCAAGCTCTCAGTACCGCAGCTGCTCAGCCCCACTCCTGTGGACTTCATAGCTGGTACCGCTGCTCACCTCACCGTCATCCCCCAGCCTTGGTAACCCATTCTGCTCTCAGCCTCTGTGAGATCAGCTTTATTTGTTCCTTGAGACAGAGTCTTGCTGTATAGTTCAGGTTGGCCTTGAACTCGCTAAGCCCTGGCTGGCTACCAGCCTGCAGCGAGACCCTCCAGCCTCGGCCTCCCAATGCTGGGGTTCAGGTGTGTGCCCCACACTCTGCATGACCTTTTCATTTTTATCTATTTATGTATTTTTGTGGTGCTGGGGGTTGCAGTCAGGGCCTTGTGCATACTAGGTGCGTGCTGGGCCTCCGCTGTCTCCCGCCCGATCTCGCTTTTTAGATTCCAGATGAGTGCGATCGTGCCGCATTATCCTCCTGCTGTCTGCACTTCACGTACTCTCCGGTTCCATCGTTGTCATAAGTGACCGGCTTTCGTTTTCCCTGCAGCACGGTTGGCAGTATGACGTCGGGAGAGCGTGCTGCGTTCCTTTACCCACTTAGCTGTCCGCGCACGCTTGCTCCTCCCTGGCTGGCTGTTGGGAGTGTGTCTCCCAGGACCGAGGCCTCCGGGTGCACCCATGCATGGGGCTGGGGGCGCCTGCGGCCGTCCTGTGTCCGGGCTGCATTTCTCGGGAGCCCCACAGTTTCTGGTCCTGCCTGCGCCCAGGGAACATTTGGTGGCTGTTCTTACGGCCTACAGTGACAGCTCCATGTGCTTCTGGCCTGCGTTTCTGGGTGATTACTGATTTCGAGCATTTCTTTGGTGCCTGTGGCCCCTTGTGTGTCTTCTTTGAGGAGGATCTATTTAGAGTGTATTGCCCATTCTTTAACTGAGCCATTTTTATGCCATGGAGTTTTCTAAATTCCTTAAATATTCTGAACATCAGCCCTTTGTCCAGTAGTTTACAAATATTTTTTCCCAAAGAATAAAAGATCTGCTAATAATTAGCGCCCTTAATGATTAGCTTAACAATTCAGGTGATTATTCTGTCTTATATGTAAGAGTGTTACCTGGAAGAGCAAAGAAATCATTTCCATCCAGTTTCGTTGTTGTCCCTTAAAAATCCTTGCTCTTCCCCCTATTTTCACCAAGGTGTGGACTAACAAGGCCAAGGGAGAAGCCGCAGGCGTTGGACTTGAAGCAAAGAAGCGGAAACGTGCGGATGATGAAAATCAGGATGTGGAAAGCCACAAGGAAGCCACGAAGGAGAATCTGAATTTACCCAAAAAGCAAAAACCTTTCGATCTCTCTGCTAATCAGAAGCTATCAGCCTTTGCTTTTAAGCAGGAGTGAGGGCGGAAGTGACTGAGGAGAGCGGTGGCACCTTTGCTCTCTTGGGTGAACCTGAGCCCTTTCTCCTGCTTCTCTGTTTGCTTTGTGGTACGGAGATTTCTGTGGAGCTCAGCGGCAGCTCCTCCTGTCCATGGATGCGTAGCAGACAGGAGCTGCAGCTTAGCTCTGGAGAGGCCCTGAGCTGGACCGGCACAGGGAACCGAATCGGGAAGGACGTGTGTGAAAACAGTGGCTCCTCTCCCCTCGGTGGAGCAGAACATCGTGATCGTGCTTATTCCCAGGCCACCATCCTGGCTTCATTATTATTTTATTTTCAAAAATATTAAAAAACAGGGACTTACACTTCCGCACACTGCAGTACCTGCTAGGAATCTCCTTGTTTGGTTTGTGTCGAGTCTGGGGAAGAATTGGCTGCAGTCCCCCGAGCGAGCTACCGGGGACTCTATCCTCTGGGGTGGACACCGAGAGCCATGCTTCTCAGTGCTGGCCCTAAACCTTCAGTGATCCTGCAGATGAGACTTTGTGGTATGTTTTGGAAATTTTGTTATATGGCTGTCAGTTGTCTGTATAGCCTGGGGGTTTTGTTTTTTAGATAAATAAAATGTTCTCATTTCCACATGTGGCTGCTGTGATGTCCATGTTGTCTCTGCATGGGGTAGAAGTGTCTAGAACAGGCGTGCTCTGTGTTCCATGACCCCACCACACACCCCGCAGATGAGTGCCACGCGCTGTGCACACAGCAGCGCTCCCAGAGGCCAGGCTCAGAACCACAGCCTGTGGAGACGCTGCTTGGCTGCCTGGGCAGAGCTCGGGGCAGGTCCCTGCAGGCGTTGATCCCAGCTCTCAGGAGTCTGAGGCAGGAGGATCACAGTGGTCAGCCTGGGCTACACTGAGTTCAAGGACATCCTGCCTGAACTGCATAGCGCGATCCTGCTGTAGAATTCAACAAGGTTCTTTCGAGAAGGGCATAGGGTGCCACCCCCAGCCCAGATGAATGGCAGAAGCTGTGCTGCTGGCTTGGGAGGGTGAGGCACAGGGAGGGAGGCTCAGGCTGAATCAGCCGACAGTGCTGTTCCTCGAGTTGGAAGAGCCCGGCAGCCCTGTGCACACCAAGAAGGGATTTGGGGGAGAGGAGGCCCCTCTGTGTCCTCGGCACTGGCTTAGATAAACACTTTTTACCAGAGTAAATGGCCTCTGATTTGGGCAGCTCAGTAGGCAGCAGAGATGTGTAGTTAGAGTCAGGGAAAGGACTTAACTCCTTGCTTTTTTTTTTTTGGTACGGGGATCGAACTCGGGACCTGGTGCTTGCAAGGCAGGCAGCAGCACTGCTGAGCTAAACTCCCGACATGGCAGACTTGATTCCCGCATTTGGCTGTTCTGGGCAGAGAATACAGTGCAGTGGCACAGGTCAGGTACAGGTGGTGGGGGTGAAATAAAAGCAGGTGAGGTACTTCAGAGACTGAAAGCAACAAAATTTGTCAAAAGATTTAGACAAACATTCCTTATTCAACAATGCTTTAAATTAGGAAGGATATAGTTTTGATTTCAAAAATAGCTGCTACTGAAATACCTTATAGCACAGTGAAGCTTAAAGACCCACTTGTTACCATGGGTGACAAGGACCAGGACAGGTCCCTAGGTTTTTGTGAGCTATGAGCCCCCGATGGTAAGGAAAAAGCTTAGTGAGCACGCTCCTGAGGGCGTAAGAGATAGGGTTTCAAAGGCTGTGTTGGTTTGAGACGCCTCCGTTGGGTCTTCTGGAGCATGACTGACAGCCACGTGAGTCACACCAGCTGCATCTAATGCGTCTAATGCGCATGTCCTTTCCCATAATCCACTCTGCTGCGTTTGAAGGTAGGAGATGCGGTCCGAACGCGTCAACCTTCACTGTACTGCGGCCGAGAAAGGTTCCTGCAGGTTACTGGTGCGCATGCGTCCTGCTGCGGCATTCTGGAGTTTTCCAAGGCAGGCTCAGGTCTTTCTTTGCTCTTCTTAGCTCTGCTTCTTGTAGTGAGCCTTACACTGAGGGTGGAGCTGGGAGGGAGCTCAACCTCAGCCATACTCTACAGCACGCTCACTGCGCCCAGCTGGGTAACCTGGGGGCTTCCAGTCTCCGTGTTCTTCTCTAAATGAGGAGAATGATGTCTAAGTCATAGGGTTGCTAGATAACAGAGGAGGTTAAAAGTCTTAGCTCCTGCCGCGCAGTAATGTTTATGTAGATATTAACTACTCTTATTGGGCGATATCTATTGCCCATTTCATTTTGCTTTGTTATTAGGTTCAACTCTGAATACAAAGGAACTAATTTTAATTTCAGGATCCTAAAGTGAAGGTGTATTTATACTATTTTGAAAAGCATGTTTGTAGACATTTCATTTCCTCAACTTACTGTACTGTGTAATTGTTCAGTCTGTTGTGTGGGAGTGTATGTGTGAATATTCAGGTATGTGTGTACACATTATAAAACCATTTGTGGAAAAGACCACCCTTTTACCAGTAAGGCTTCAGTTATGAGCTAAAAGACGGTACTGTTTTGTTTTGTTTTTTCTTTTGAGAAAGGATCTGGTTATGTAGCCCAGGCTGGCCTCAAATTCCAGGTGATCCTCCTGCCTCAGCCTCCCAACTGCTGGGATTACAGGTGTGCGCCACCACGCCCAGCTGACCAGACTGCTGAAGATAGATTCAGTGAGATCCCTATCAAAACCCCAGCTGGCTTTTTTGGCAGAAATTGACAAGCTGATCCTAAAACTCATCAGGAAATTACAGGGACCTAGAATAGCTGAAACAATCTGGAAAAGAATTCTTGAAAGTTGAGGGATCCACACTGTCCAGTTCCAGATCCCAGTGCAGAGCCCCAGGAGTCAGACCATGGCACGCGGATAAACGCAGCGGAAGGTGTCTGGCTGGGGGCTGATACAGAGTTCAGCCTCTGAAAAGGGAGGAATGTGAATGTGCTCAGATGAGATAGAAACTCTCCGTGACCTTATCTTCCTCCACAAAAGGTTCCGGCTGCTGATTACAAGCAGTAGCCGACTATCTAGAACATATGAGGGACTCTTGAAACGAATCATGGGGCGGGGGGAACCCAAACCGCACAATCCAACCAGAAAGTGAACAGCGACACAGACACGCAGCGCCCTTCACTAAGGGGTGGCCAGACGGCAAAGAAACGGGGGCGCTCGATATCCGGTCTGAGCAGCAGCACGGGTCTCCTCAGGGCAGCCGGGATGGCACCTGGACCCCTCAGGCTCGGGAGGGCTGCCAAGCCATGACTGCAGTGTTAGGAAGTACTGGAGAAGATGCACCGTTTCTGTCAGCACTGGACAGGCCAGTGAGGTGCTGTGGTGGCCGCCCCTCACACGTTTATCTCAGGGAGACAAACGCGTCTCTCTCAGGAGTCTCGCTGCTTGAAGCCCCAAACTGGAAAGTCCCGGATGACCCTCCCTGGATGGCTGCCACCCCGAGGTCCAGTGGTCAGCGTTGGACAGCCCAAGTTAACCTCCAGGAAGTGATGCTCAGTGAGCAGACCAGCCTGCAAAAGATGCGCGCTCCATCGCTCTCCTCAGAACAGGCGTGAAGTAGCATAAAGGGAAGGAAAATAACAGTGGGCACCAGAGTCACAGAGGGAGGTGGAGGGAGGTGCCATAAAGGGGGACAGGCACTTCTCAGCTACCCGGCCAAGATCAGGTGTAACAGGGTGGCCAGAGCTGGCTTAGTGGCACCCACCTGTGACCCCCACACTCTGGGAAGCTGAGGCAGGGGGTCACAAGTTTGAGCCCAGCCTGGGCCGCTTGGTGACTGAGACCCTGTCTCAGAATGAAAAGTAAAGGGCTAGGGATGTAGCTCCGTGCCAAGGCCATGGGTTCAGTCCCCGGTGCCGGAAGAAAGGAAGAGGAACACGCTTGATGCTGGTACAGATCAGTATTTCGATAATGGTAGTGGTTCCACAAGGGTACACGTGTGATAGAAGAGCACACACAGAGGGATGAGAGTGTGCTGGTAAAATGGACAAGTTCCATGGACTGTACCCATGCTAGTTGCTTGGTTTCCATAGTGTGCGCTAGCTGTGTAAGACACCAGCATTGGAGAGGCTGGGGAGAATGGTAACGGGGTATCCTACAATGGGCAATGGAAAACCCCAATGTGGCGTGTGTAGTTAGTGGTAGGTAATTTCTCTTCTTGATATTGATTAACTGATCATGGTCTCGCTAGGTAGTTCAGGCTGGCATTGAGCTCAGCAGTCCTCCTGCCTCAGCCTCCCAAGTGCTAGGATTCTAGGCACACACCACCACACCTGACTGGACCTCATTATCTTTGCTGTATTTGAGTCTTTCCTTTATGGTCAGAGCTGCAAGAGCCGTTTGTGTCCAAGAGTGGAGACCTTGGTTGCAGGCCAAGTAAGACTGAAGGGACCAGAGGGAGGTGGGGCAGAGTGATCAAGCTGTGCCTACGATGCCACCTCTGGACTCTGGGGCCCAGCGACCCCAAGCAGAGCATTGTCCAGGCCAGTGGCCTGCTGCCTTGGCTGTACGTGGGAAGCCTGCCTGGGCCCAGCCTGGCTCTGAGTGAAGTCAGATCTCGCCAACGGGCGCCAGCTCCCGGGGATGGAACTCGTGGCTTAGTGTGAGAACCACTGCTTAGGCCACTTTAGGTGGATGTTCAGTTTCTAGCAGGAGGAAAACTGCAGCCTAAAATTTCTTACCGAAAACAAAGTGCCAGGCCTGGTGGGGCACGCCTGCAATTTCCGGCACTCAGGAGACCCAGGTAGGAATTGCTGTGAGTTTGGGGTCCTGTCTTTGTCCCCTCCCCTTCCTTCTCTTCCTTTTTTTCCTACTAGATAAAACTCAGGACCCCCAAAATGGTGAACAGATCCGAACCAGATGGTTTTCTCATCAGCTCCAGTTCATCCTCCTGCAAAGCATAACCCACATCGGAGTTCACCACCACAGACCCTTGGGTGACCGCCTGGGACGAGTGTAGAGTAGCAGCTGTGAGGCTAAAAGTAAGAACAGCCAGTACAACCAAGAAACACAGCTGCCCGCTCCCTGCCCTGATGGGGATTTGAGGGCTGCTTCCGCTGCTGGTCAGAAAAGGATCCAGGGGCGGCGGGAGACTGTTGTGGGGGCTGCCTCTGAAGGCCAGCAACATCCGTCGGCCTCACCTCGGCTGCACAGCGCACACAAGCTGGCGATCGCTCTGTCCAGCTCCAAGCTGGCTCAGCTGACCTCAGGCTTGTGGACCCAGGGACCACACACTCTTCCCTTTGGCTCTCTGGAGGCCCCGTTCAATAATGAAAAAGAAAGAGGAAACATCTGCAAGCTCAGTGATGAAGAGGAAGGCACGAGGGGGCGGAGGAGACATCCATGCATGCAGGGATCCTGTAAATTCAGGGGAAAGAAAGGCAAGTGAAGGAAGGCTTCCGAATGCATCACCTGGGGACCTGTTAGGGTGCAGACTGGTGAGCAGGGCTAGGGTGGGATGTGATTCTGCGTTTCTAACAAGCTCCCTGGTGATGCCACCGAGGCAGGCCTGGTCGGTGGACCATGTACCGCACTGAGCAAGGCAAGCAGTAGGGGGAAGATGTAAGGGGGGCTGCGGCCCATGAACA